CACCAAAAGCACTTGATTCCTGATTAGGTACAGGTACGAGTGGGTGTGTAAATACGCACTTAGTGCGTATACATACGATAAGAAAACATTCACGCATAGAAGAAATTGGTAGGTGCCATAGTTCAAAGTACGTGCCTGACCAAATCTCATCAGTCAACAAGAAGAAGGCCTAAACTGAAACGTAATTTCACCTGTGACACTGTTTATGAGAAAAAAATAGAAAGTTGCTTTACGTCTGGTAGATAATGGGAACCTTAAGTACATGCACTAAACGCATTATTGACCCTCAAAGTAGGTCAACTAAATCACAAACAGTAAAGATAAACTAAGTCAATAAAATTTGAAATACTGTATACTTATTTACTTATACAGGTAAAGCAAAACGTTCACCAAACATAGATATTACACATTTTTTTGTGGGCATTTTTTTCTATCGACACATGTAATAAATAAATATCACCCTAACTAACGTCCCAAACGACATCAACTGCTTTTGAATAGTTTTGAAATTCTAATTCTTGGTTGACGAATTTTCAAGGAGAGGGTTTAGTTGAAACGAGCCTGCAATATTAATAAACACTAAAAGTCTGCAAAGTGACAAAGTCATAGTTAGTTATAAGTTATCGTTAATCAAAACCTCCTACACCTACTAGCGACAGAAATTTTAAATGTTACTGGTAGTGGATCCAAACCGAGTACTTGGCCTATTTTTAGTTCGTATATACTGCTAAAACTTTTAAACTAAATCCTGCAGCCTCGTGAGGTTTATATGGTATGATAGTCTTCCATACCCTGTCCATGAAGAAGGTTTAGGTTTTATTTATAAGTTATCGTTAATCAAAATCTCCTATACCAACTAGCGACAAAAAAAATTTAACTGTTACTGGTACTGGATCCAAACTAGGTACGTGGCCCATTTTTAGTTCGTGTGTACTGCTAAAGCTCTTTAACTGAATCCTGCAGCCTCGTGAGGGTTATATGGTATGATAGTCTACCATCCCCTGTCCATGAAGAACGTTTAGGTTTTTAGGTGCTGGGATTATTTTCAAAGATATGGGGTTAAAAGGCTATCACCCAAATGAACTCCGTATAGAGAGTCAGTAAAGGTGTTAATTGAGTTTCGGCATCTAGTCAGAACGTTACAGATTGTCAAAGATTTAAATGACCTGCATCTACAACGTTTGAAAATGCTTTAGAATTTTCTAGAAGTTCAAGAACGTTCCCGAACGATAACTAATTTTTTTCTGAGCGAAGCGAGAGCAAACTGCATTTTACAAAATATATTGGTAAAAGTCTCATGTAGGAAAGTACGATTGGGTTAGATGTGGGGCCAAAGTTGGCTTGCCAGTCATAAGCTCTGGGACAAAGCTGAATACAGATATGGTTGAACTACCGAATGATAACATCGGGCCTGGCTTGGCATACTACCTTGGACCAGCTATAAATCCCAAAGATGTGTCCTAAAGTTAAAATCAAAGATGGTCCAGGGAATAAAATTTGTAAATAAACTATATATAAACAATTATTTTAAATAACTAACACAAAATAATTGTTTATTTTGAATTATAAAAAGACGAATACAATTGATTCCATAAATATTTATAATAATTCATTTTTATTTCTTTGCTGACCGCTTAGATCGTCCACGGTCACGATCTGGAGCTCCAGAGAGATTAACAGATAGATTGTTATTAATTATTATCAATGATGATATTTATTAATCATTTTTCAGTCCAAGTTCAATAATCCTTACTAATAAATAAAATAATATAATTCAGATATTATCATAAAATAATTTCTCCTTTTTCTTCAAAATCAACTATTTGAACAGTACTTTTAACGTCTTTATTAATTTTAGAATAGAAAATAAGTTCCCGGTCAATATAAGTTAATCCATCTGGCCCAAGATTAATCAACCGAAAGTAATATAGTCAACTTTGGTCTAGGTCTGGGACAGACAAAACTACCCATTTTTGATAGATCAATTGTATGCCTAACTTGGTTCAACCTTGAATGAACTTCGTTCAGCCAAATTTGGACAACCCACTGCTGGGCCAAAGTTCACCCGATCGTCAACTCTAG